CAGAACATTTGTTTCCCTGGAAGCAATACATGTGTCACTTGTGCTCTGAAGTGATGCATCTTTCTTAAAGAATCTGCACCTGCTTCCTTCCGATCCGCAGGACAGACAGCAAGTAGGGGTGGTATATCTGGCCCCCATCCCATGCAGAGCAGGTTCAGGGGACCAGCATCCCTGCTTAGGACTTTGCAAGGCCAGGCTTCAAGTACCTCTTCTATCCAGAGCCTGGACCACACCACAGTGCTGGTTTGTGATGCAGAGCCCTTCCGCAAGTCAGCTTTGCCTCCTCTTCACCCAGGTAGCTACTCCACAGGGACAGGAGTAGAAATTTAGGGTGAGAAAGGGTAGGACACCATGTATGCACAACCATTGGCGTGCGGCTGGACACCATCCTGGGCTGCCGGAGGAGCTCCCCACATCCAGTGGGGTCACAAGGAGAGAAACGAGAGCCTTGCATCGTGGGGATGGCAAGGGCATGGGGTCATTGCCAGAAGGATTGACAAAAAATATCAACCTTGTCCTCGCTGAAAGCTTGAAAGACATTCCAGAGCTTCTTGGTGGCATTAATACACATCTTAACGTTACCCACAATGTGGCACAAAAATATTTTGCATGAAGTTAAATCACAGCCTGTGTCTGTGAAACAGAGTTTTTAAGTTTTCAGTTCAGAATGTAAGCCAGCCAAATCACTAAGCTGTCCCAGTGTAAGTGATGGGGAATCTGAGCTGGCATGCTGCCCTGCACTGCTCCCCTCTCCTTGCAGCTCAGCAAAGTCCTGTCCGGCCCAATTTGTTTGAATCAGATTACTATCTACTATTCTAGTCATATTTTAAAAGACTTGGAAGAACAAAATCCATAGTTAATGGGATGTGTTTGTAATCTCACACGTTTTACACAATTTTGATTTCAGCGGTCTATATATTGAAAAAATTAGTTACTGCCTGTGCACTCACGCCACGCCACAAGATGGTCCTGCATTTTGAAGACCAGCCAAAGTCTGAGTCAATACACGCTTCTATGTACTTTCAGATAAAACCTACATCACGTTACCACTGATTATACCACTAATTATAGAGAATAAAATACCATCCCCCCTCAAAGGCAGCATTCTACATGGGAGGGGACTGAGTATCCAAATTAAAATTAAAATGAATACAAACCCGGATATAACACCGTGTTTAGAAATGTAACATACTACACTGCTACAAGCATGATCTTTGTCCTGTCATAGTGAAAGTGTGGAATAATCACCTAATGAAAACATTTTTGTGGTTGCACTACAAGTATAGTGGCATCCAGACTTCAATAATCAAATGTAGGTGTTCCCCCCTTGATTCTGCTGCAATGGAAAGTTTATTGTCTTCAAACGCAGCTGATGGGTTTAAGAAGCACAAAACTTCTAGTGAAGTGTTTGTGCAATAATCACCTACAGCAAAGAGATCTGAGGGGTGATCCATTTCCTTTCACAATCCCTCAAAAATACAACCCCTAAATATATCTACAAATTCTCAGAAGACATTGTCAAGCATACACTGTTTCTTAACATGTAATCAAGATCTAATCCTTACTTTAATTCAGATTCATAAGGTGGGATAACTGCCATTCCTCACATCTGAACAGCCGTAGCATTTTCTGCCCCAGACAAATACTCAACAGCTAGTGGTTATCTAATTTAGCAAGATTATTGCCCAATCAAAGCAGTATTGTAGATTAACATTTGAACCAGGTGCGCTTTTATTTTTTGGTGCAGAAAAGCTCGTAAGTTGTCCTGATGTTTTCCAATACGTGCTCTACCATTTAATACATCGCTCATTTGAAATGAGTGAAGCCACCCCACCAGAACACGGCAATGAGAAAAAGACCAGCAAGTTGGGTCAAAAACATCCCAAACAGGCAAATGTGATTTCCACCTCTCACATGGCAATCTCACTAAAAAATGTTCCGGGGTTAGGCAAGCTCTCTCTGAAGAGAGCTGGAGAAGCACCCCTAGCATCCTTCCTGTGCGCGGGGCAGGGCCAGGCTCTGCTCCAGAATTGCGGAGCGCTGCTCAGGTCCAGGGCAGAGCAGGCAGAGGCAGGGGAGGCGCGGCCCCACAGCGGGACCTGCCGAGGGAGCGTGGCAGCTGGAGGGGCCCTGGTGGGAAGCAAAGCATCCACCATTTTCAGAATAGGACTCGGCACCTTCTTCATCAATGAACAGGATTTCCCCAAACCTTCCTGCTCCCATCAGCAGTTTCTCCTCAAAACAGCCTCAGTGTGTGGTCCACCCTTGCCTGTAAAGGGGGTAGAAGCCACGGGTTGGCCTCTTAGAATCATAGAATCGTTTAGGTTGGAAAAGACCTTTAAGATCATCCAGTCCAACCATTAACCTACACTACCAAGTCTACTCTAAGCCAATCAAGGGTAGACTAGACTAATCACTTCCAGGGATGGTCACTCCCCCACCTCTCTGGGCAGCCTGTTCCAATGCTTGACCACCCTTTCCGTAAAGAAATTTCTACTAATTTCCAACCTAAACCTCCCCTGGTGCAGCTTAAGCCCATTTCCTCTCGTCCTATCGCTAACTACATGGGAGCTGTTTCTTTCAGTTGCTCACTGACTTGGGTCCCTGCCTTTGGCATTTGTTCTGCCACTTCCAAATGCCTTTCGGGCTGTCACCTCTTCCCTTATCCAGGTACAGGTTGCTCCAGATCCACACGGCTGCAGACACCTGACCCCACCTGGTCACCCCAAATGTGCTGTGAGAGCTTGTGCTACTTGGTGCTAATGGAAAATCTCCTGGATTGTCCCTGGGGAAGTTGCCTCGTCCCCTCCTGTTCATGCCAGCACTACGGGACACCAGCCAAGCATCATCCTCTGGTGGAGCTGCTACATTAGCAAGCAGGTGGGCTTTTATTCCTTGCTTTGTCACAAAAGAAAAACCTCCCCTTGCTTTTCTCTTGATGGGAACTATCAGAAGGGATGCTGTGAACTTAAGAGCTAAATTAGCTTTACTTTTTCCATTTGCCAAGGTAATCCTTTCACCCACTGACTCCAGCCTTTGATTGACCACACTTCCCATCACACCTCTATTGTAACTCCAGCTGCTGCCTTGTGCTTTCTTTGCACAGCAATTCACAGTCACCATGGGTCATGGGGGAAGTGTTGAGTGTCTCAGCCATAGGCTGCAGTGCCATTTCAGAGATGATAGGGCATCTCATCTGGCCTCCACAATCTGCTCCAGGTCACAGGTCTCCTCTAGGTGCCGGGTCCTATCTGCCAGCCCCTAGAGATGCCACAGACTCCACTGGGTGCCTCAGTTGACACCGAGGCAACTGAATGATGCCCCACAGAGAAGCACTTCAGACAGGACCTCAGAAACTTTTTTTCACAAAATAAGTATCTAGCTACATTTAGGAGCTGAATCCCACCATGTGCCAATAGGTGCAGAGTTCTGGAACATTCACCTATAGACTATAGGCTTGCTTGTTGTTTGCTTCATTACTGCATGTAGTTAACTAATCACACAGGTAACAGTAGGTGGGACTTAGCTCCAGGTTGTAGACAACTAAAATTTGCTATGGAGAACTACAACTTCCTCCAGATGGCCTCTTAGGTATCTACTGGCATCAGATTTCCTTACCCCACCTGGTCTCCAGCTGCTTGTTCAGCTTTAAATGTATAGATGTCTATAGATGCACTACTTAGTGAAAAGGCAATGTTCGTTGCTGTAGCATCTGCTGAATGTTTGTTTTGCTATCGCTAAATAAAATCAGGTAAGACTTTTGCTGAATTATTCTGCTTGAATAAACTACACCAGAAGTACACAAAAACAGTTTGTGTCATCTGATCACCAGTATCTTCAGAAAATGTCATATTTAGTTCTTACAGCAAAGCTCAGTCATTAAAACAATCATTTGGTCAGTAAAATCAATTAATATAATTTTGAGCAATAAAGAAATTCTAGCTTAAAAGAATAAACCAAGAGCCAACTCTTCAGCTGCTGAAAACTTTATTTTTTTTGTTACTTCATACACCTGAGCTATGAAGGCTTGTACAAAAGAATAAAATAAAATAAAATCCCAGTATGGTTTTACTGATGTTAAAACTGCAGCCTCATTTTTTTTAATCATTTAATATGAAGAGGGGGAGGAAAACTGCCAACGAATCTACTGAAAGCACTTAACCTTTTGGAGATTATGTCATTATTGTTGCAATGAGGATTGGCTAAGGTGCTTCAATTTTTTTTAAGAAATGCCAATTTTATTCAAACCGTTCTGCAGAAATGTGTCCCATTTCAGGGAAAAATTCACTGAGAAGTGAACTTCAGTTCAAAACCTTTTGCTGTCTCATCCAGAAAAAAAATCCTTCAGTTCTTACTGAACAGAGCAAGGGCCTGACTTTGTCTCCTCCACCTAGTGGGAATGCACCAAACAATGGGCCACAGAGAGAAAAAGAAGGGATTATAAAAACACACATTCAAACTTCCCTTACTAGCAAAATTCAAAATAAAATACTTGTAGCAGCCCCAGCTGCGACAGGGAGTGCAGCAATATAAAGAGATGAACATTGGGGTGGAATGTAAGAAGCAAATCCTCCTGCAGAGGAATGAAGTCCATCAGCACATGGAAGTTGTATGTATGTAATACAGCTTGCAGAACTAGATCCTGTGAGAAGCTGAGTGGCTTTTTGCAAGATGCTGTTTGAGGGTATCCAGCACCGAGGTGTGGGAACCATGAAGCCCCCAGATAGCGTCTTGCAGATGTAAGTCCCTAATGCAATATAAAACATATTTGCTCCAGTTAGTGACCTGAGAGCTTTGGCTTAGTTTTTCCCCCAAGCATTTGCTGTTAAGTTAATTAAGCATTTAAAAATAACAGTCTCTCACTTCCAGAGACTCAACATAAATACTACTCAGTCTTCTTCTAAGGGCCGGATTTTCTGCAAGGGTAAATCAATACAGTTTCACTGATTGAGGATCTGGCCTTAAAAGTCTATCCAGTGCATTAAAACCAGCACAGCATGACATATGCCTTGGCAGTAGAGCAATTCTCCAGATTAATATTTGAGGGAAATTTGGCAGTTAAAAAAAAAAAAGCTCCATTTTGAAATGCTGCCATTTCTTTAATCAGTGCTGACCACCACAGTTTCTCCTCCTGTGAACTGTACGGTTACGGCTGGCATTTCACTGTCATTCTCCTCAAGCTTTAGTGCAGCGTTGTCCAAGCCATTGCTGCCAGGCTGCGGCAAGGCAGTGGGTTCTGCCGTCTGAGTTGGAGTGGAGCAATACAAGATGAAGCCCACCATGATGATAACGAAGGACAGGATATAAAGACCTGAAAACTGGCAAAGAAAGAAACACGTTAAGTCTTGTCTGATGTAAAAACATATCAATGCTGCTTTGTTTTAAGAATGTGAAAGCTACCCTTCCTTTTTAAAAATATGTTAATGAGGATTATCACCACGATCTGTATTCAGGTCTGAAAACCAAAATTCAACAGCTCCATTCACTGATAGAGTCAAGGTGCTGGCTGGTTTTCTCTGCATCTCATCCTCAACACTGTTGGACAGGGAGTTTCCTTAAGTCTACATACAAGAATCTTAACAGAGAGAACAAATGGCTGTAAATATGGTGATACTGAAGGATAGTTGTTTGTGTACGTGAATGCTGAAACACTGTACCCCTAAGAGAATTTTGTTTCAGCACAACCAAGTGTTTCAGGTCCTGGCAAGAGATGAATCTCCCCATCCTACTGCAAGTCACCAGAGCAGCTGGTTCTCTTTACAGCTCTCTTAACCATCTGCAGGGCTAGACAAATGTTATTACTGGACCAAAACCGGTTTGCTCTCTACACCCAGCAAGTCATTGAAGAGAGGGAGACTGGGGCTCCTTTTACAAGATTGGCATTTGTGCTCTCTTAGGAGTGGTGTGAGCTAAGAGTATGAACTGCCGAGGTACATCAGGCATTTGATTCACTATTGTTCACTTGCCAGTGAAAAGTCCAACAATTGCTGAGATTCATCCACCTTGACAGAAAAATAAATGCTTACTTCATAACACCAGATTCAATAACACAAAGAGTTCAAGTTATCCACAGCCAGGAACACTTTTTCAGCAGATTTGTTGAAGTCCTCCATATTGCCTTTGCCAAACCACACTGATTAAACAGTATGATGAAGGACACAGCACATCCAACATCCCACTGTAAATATTCCCTAACCTCCTTAGATGTGCTTGAAGAATATGTTCTATTTTATCAAGCAGAAGAGCTGGGTGAAATTAATGTAGGACCTGGACGGTGGACTCTGATCCAAAAAAGACTGAGGCATCTACAATTAAGGCATTGCAATTCCTAGGTGGTAGTCACTTGGCTCAGAAACCCTTGGATGGCACCATGCAAAAGGAAAAGCTGACTGGAACACATTGGCCTTGTGATACATGCCCTCTCCCCACCTTGCTGGCTGTCTGCCTGGAGGAGCTTGGACTCAAGCGTTCACTCTGCACAGGAGGATGCACCAAGCTCTGAAGATGCCCTGATGGAGGCAGCAGCAGCGTCTGTGGCCCTACCCATGACTGGCCCATTCCCATCAAACGGGCAGAGCTTGGGTCTGTATCTAGGCACCTGCACAACTTCTCCAGAGCACAACCTAAGGCCATGAGTGAACATGTGCTTGCATGCAAGGACGTGTGGCTGGCTGGTGAGACTGGGCGGTCACAGTAACTGCCAGACCCCCTCTCACAGTGCGTACAAGGCAGTACGTGTCTCTGATCCTGCTCGGAATTAATTCCTCCGTGAGTGGATACACAGTCACCAAGTCAGGGTGCCAAAGCTGTTGCAGCTTATCTGTGATTCAAGGCCTGCCTATGGGTTTGCAGCTATTGACACAGGTGAACCTTAACCACAACGTTCCAACAGGCCTACACTCTTTTTTTTTTTTTTCTTTCTTTCATTTTTGCAGAGGGCTCAGTGGTCTTTTCCTGTGGTTTTTTTTCATTTCAAATATTGCAGCGACTTCATTGTTTCAGATGCTGATTTCAGTCATATCTTGTGCAGCTTATAACCCCATACTCACTGTCAAGCCTAAAGACTACTTTAAATGTTACTGGAGGACTGTAACTCCATCTAGTGTCTGTATTTGCAGTAGACTCCCTTCCACGGGAGTTTATACAGCAAAAGCATTTGGAGATCTTTTTTAATATCTCTTGAAGGATTTACAGGTATCTACATAATGAGCTCATTAGGAAGAAGCAAAGCAAAGATTCATTATGGAGTAAAAGAAAAAAAAAAAAAAGAGCTCATGAAAACAGGTATGCAAAATTCACATTTCACCTTAAACAGACATGGTTGGGGCTGAAAAGCTGAGTGCATTAGCAAAACACTGTGCACAAGTCAAAACCTCATAAATTCCTGGGCCCAGTCTCTGCTGTAGCCGCTGCAGGTCTGTGCTGCTTCTGTTTCAGAGCAGGCTCAGACCACAGCAATTCGGAGCTCTCCATGGCTCGCCCCGCTCTGCAGCCCAGCCAAGCCTTCAGTGGCTTGCTGTGAAATCTCATCTGGTAATGGGGAATACAGAGCAATTCCTCACATTTTTGTTTGTAGATTCCTGTGTCCAGGGTGCTTTTGAATCCAGGAAATGTCCTGCCTGGTTTCTTTGCCCCATAGGTAAAGAAACTATATGGCTAACTTGGCAATAAGATTTTCTACTGCTAAGCATTACGTTAAAAGCTGTGTCAAAACCAGGCTCCCTCAGTTCTTAGTTCCTAAGCTGTCTCAGATCCTCTGATTACTAAAGATGCAGCATTATTATAGCTCCCCTTTTGGTTACTTCATTGTTTCTAGCCACAGATGCAAGTTCCTATTTTAATAAATATCCAAAATGCTCTCATAATACAATCGCAAAGTCTTCTCTAATTCATTTTTTCTTTTTGCTACCAGAATACCCCACAGCTAGTAATTATGGGATGATCTGCTCCCAGCAAAACCTCTCCCCAAAATAAGCTAAAAATCCTGAAGAATAAAAGTTTATGATATTCCTTCCAAAGCTCTTGCTTACTCCTTCCTCTTTACTATTATGAATATAAATTTATAATCACTTTGTGAGTTAAGCCATCTGGGTGCCAAAATACATGTTTGGAGGTGACTTACAAAGGATTTTTTTTTAATTGTTAGAATGTAAGTATGGTTCACTTCCTACATTCATTTTTAATGGATGCTTTGTAGCTTGGAGCAAATTTTGGAACCCAAAACAGGCAGGAAAGCTGAGCTAAGAGACTCTTGAGAAAGGAAAATCTACCTGCTGTTGGACCCTACCATTACCAGACCTCTATACTGTAAAATAAATTGGCCTTCATTTTCAGAAACAAATCTGACCTAAAAGTTTCTGGCTCTCCATAATGCTGAAGAGAAAGCAACCACATGGAATAATACAAATTAAGTTCTTAAGCAAAGTTCACAAGCATCTCAGTAAGCCCTTCCAGTCACTGAGTGACTGACTCAATTACTCCAATTGCTGTAACGACCTAGTTCCCACAAATTATTCTGGATAAAAAGTGTGGGGTGGCATGAAATCTTTTTAGCACTGTCATTTAGCTTGAATAGACACTACCAAAAATATTTTAGAGCGCAATAAAAGTAACTGCCTTTTGGAGAGCATACAGAATAATATATTTATCTGCATTTTTTTCAGTTCCTTTAGTCTCTCCTTAGCAGTAGCACTGAGAGAGCTTGATTCTTATCCCAAGATGTTGGTAATGAACACATTAAGTTTCTAAAAGAAAATATTAATGTCTGGAAATCAAGCCAAACCGCTCCTCTCTCAGACACCAAATGCCTTTCAGGACAGGGAGATTCAAACCCTCTCTTTGGACACTTTGAGAGACAAACCAAATCCAACATACAGTTCCACACAGGGCTTACGGCAAGAACTCTACCATGTGAACACCTCGGGAAATTATTTACTATCTCTTAACATTAACTCTAACGTATTTCATCAAGTGTGAAAGTGTTTGAAAAATCACTATCTGCCTAATGGTGCAATGCTACATAATTAACTAAGTATGACTCCTCCTGATTGACATCTGCCAACAATGAACGATACAAGCTGTAGAAATGTATAAGTGCAAACAACTGTTCAGGGGCTTTTAAGAACATTTTACTTTATTTATAACTTTGGAGTAAAAACGTAACCAAAATTATAGTGAGAGAACGAAGGTACTTACCTTATAGAAAAAGAGGAAAAGCCCAAAGAACAGACTGTAGAGATCCGCAGTCAGAATACCCAGGTTGACTGAGGTTGCGCTGGTAATTTTAATCACTACTGGCATGAAGCTATACAGTCCAAACATACACAGGGCAAAGACTGTGAACAGTAATGCTGTAAAACAAGATGACAGTTTACTCCTAAGGCACAGAATAATGATTTTAAAGAACACCGATATTCTTCAGACGCATTTTTGTCTTTTAGGATAAGGTTTCCTAAAAGAATGTAAATTTAAGAAAAACACGGCAGAAATACTTCTTTTCCAAGACTACCCTGTATTGCAAAAATTACTGTATCTATACAAGAAAGTTCTCGTTCTTTCCTAGTTAACATAGAGATGACTGAAGAAATTTAGAGCCACATTTCTTAATAACGTATAGTTCTGTTGAGGTCAAAATGTGTCACAAAATCCATTTTTCCTAAATGAAATACTGGAAGGACAACAGAAGAATGTTCTTGTGATGTTCCAACACCAAACATGTCTGTAATTAAACAGGTTTAATTTTTACTTATTTCAATTTATTTTGAAAAATTATTTTGTGTTATATGTAAAATGCAAAACCTGAGCTCAAAGATTGTAATGTTCAATCCTGCAAACCTTATCTCTTTGCTGAACTGCAAAGTTTGCAGAAAACAAATTTGTGACACTATGAATGCTGCTTAATATCCAGAGAAAGAAAATGAAAACCCCAGCATTTGAAGTCATTATCGTTTTCCAGTATTCTGTAAAAAATGCACATCATTTTGTCATACACATACCAATTTTCCAGTTCCATTGAATTCTCATTATCTCCCTATGTTCCACAATGGCTCTAGAGTTAGAGAGAAGACATAATACAGTAAAAAAGAGAAAAAAAGAAAAATAATATTCAAATAGAGAATTTAATTACCAAAATATAAGAAACATTTTGATTTATAATCCCTTAATTTTTTGTTTGAACTTTTATTGAATGATACTAACTCCAACATCTAATAAGCATGAAAAAAGACTTGAAAATTAAAGTGCATTTTTATTTAATTCTTATGCCTTCTTCGCAGGCTTTTTCATCCTTCAGAGATTCAGTTTTATTTGATATACCATATGAGGAAATTATTAACTATAATGATGAGAAATGAGGAATATAAAATTCATTAGATAGACTTAAGTGAATGTGGTCCGTTACTCTAACGTGGTTATTTGTAAGAGTATACATGGCTTCATTTTAAACTGAAGTTTAACATGGAAGACCTCCTGCTAACAATTATCTCCTAAACTTTTCCACATAGAAAATCCATTAAGAAACACATTCCTGCGAACAGTTCTCAGCATATTGAGTCTCCTCATGAAGATCAACAAAATCAGAAATACAGCCAAGTATCATACGTGTTCAATTGCAGGATTTCAGCTTTAGAATTGCTGTAATAAGAGTAGTGCAAATAAAAAGGATATAAACCGGATGCTGATCAGCAACAAAAATAAAATTCAAGTGGAAGGACTCCCATATAGGCCAAATGCAGACATAACAAAGAATTAATTTAATAACAACATCATCATTTCATGGTAGACAAGCAATCATCTAGTAGAATATTCTTAATTAGTTTTAAAATAAATATTAGATCCTTACAGCTGTAGACCGCTGATAATAGTCCCAAACAAGCCCACCATTCCTAGAAACTCCACTCTGCTCAGATTTTTCACAATGTATTCCTCACTCACATTAGAAATGGCATACAAAGAAGCACCAAGAAGCACTAAGACATCTCCAATCACCACGTCACTACCTGTACAGAAATATTAATCCACAATAAGGGTAATGCTGCAAACACTGTTAACTTTCCTTAAAAAGACAAGCAAAGTTATCTCTAACATCTTTACCTTCCTAGCACCTTCCAGGGTAAGGGGAAAGGAAACATCTCCTGTGTGTGCAGATGAGTGGCTTGGTGTCTGAGCATGGACTCTGCTACCTGCTCCCCTCACCCTGCACAGTCTGGAATGAGCTAAACCCAGCACTGCAATCTCATCCTGCCCAAACCACTGCTGTATAGCCTGGTCCAATTCTGCTTCTGCTGACCTTAGGCACTGTAGGTACTTGAGAAAATTCCCAGTTAGAGATGCTCTCTGCCTTTCTGAATATTGCTCCCACTTCTGCAGTAAGACATGACTCAAGTCTTGCCAAAATCAGTCTATTGACTTCAGCGGGACGTAGACTCAGCTTCAGGTTTATGACAGGTCTTAAGTGGGCACTGCAGATGGGTGGTATCATGTGTCCTGCTGCGATTGATTTATACTGTGCAAATGGGACTCCCTGTGATACAATCACTCATCAAGTAAATGCTGTTATGCATCAGCTAAATAGCAAGAGGATCGCTGTTGTTTAAATCCTTGAATTGATTTTAAATTTCCTTCCCTGAGCCACTTGGCAATCACTAAGAAAATATGTCTGAAATATGAGGGTAAGCAGTAGTAAGGATACCCAGGTCAGCAAATAAAACACAACTGTCTTAAAGTTGCAGGGGAAGAAGATTTTTCTCCCTCAGGACTGAGATACTTGTACCACGTAGCATTAAAGCTAAACCTCAGTTTGTCTTCATGTCTCATCTACAGTGAGGCCCCAAAGTAACGCCAAACAGGCTTATCTCTGTGCTGCCTGGTGAAGGCAATGCCTCATTCCTCTCTCCCTTGCCTCATACCCTCTGGCTCTGGAAATTCAAAATTCTTATCCAAAATAAGATCGCTACGATCTGGGTTGATTTACGCATCTGTCGTAGACAAGGCAAGACCTGCCCTCATCTGCGCCCAGCTGGATTCCTGGGTCCCCGGAGCCCAGCCTCCCTCCCGGAGATCCCAGGAATCCTGCCATCCTGCCCATGTCTCCTCTTCCTCTCCCATCCTAAGCCCCTGCTTTCCAGGCTGTGGCCCGTGGGCCTTGGGGATATGTGGACCATTTCTGTTGGGTCTGCCAAAGATAACTCAGAGAAGTCAGCCTGCTCTTATTTTGATTTGCTATCTGTGCTCATAGAAAACTGCAAATCAGAAGTCTGGCTGCTAGCAGGCTGATACAGTGCAAGCCAGACAAGGTTTGCAGGGAGAGGCAGCATCTTTTATTAGACCATCTCACATGGTTAGTAAAAGTGAATAAGCTTTCAAGAATGAGGCCTTTCATCGGGTCTGATGAACAGCAGCAAAATTTAAGCTTAACACAAGCGGTTCTCTTCTAAGGTGGAAGAAATAATCCAAACCTACAAGCAAACAAATTCCACAGCTCCCTATAACATCAGCGCCTCCTCAGCCACTATCTTCTTGGACAAGAAATACAAATAGCAGCATGTCTCCTCCTCTTTTAAAATAAAACTATATCCACTCCCCCTGCATTTGCTGCTCTTTCTCTTTTACAAGTTAGCCCACCATGGGAACCGTCTCTCCGCTCTTTCCCCCCGCAATAAAGGACTCCTTACCTTCGCTGTCCTGCCTCCCTGCCAAAATGTCTGCACCCACCATTGTTCCTACACCCAGCAAACAGATGGCAACAGCAAGAAAATGAATCAGCCTGTATCTTGCACGGAGAATGAACCACGACAAAGCCATCAGCACAGGAATCCCGAAACAGTCCAGCAGCTGTGTGTACAGAGAAATGGTTTGAATTAGAAACCTACCCCAAATCTGGATTGCACTGTCCTGAAAGCAAATGTACAGGATCGATCTTTCTGTCACTATCAGATGTTAATGAAAGTGGCAAAGGAACCACAGTGGATTCATTTAAAAGAGGGGTCAGACCCACATTTTACCATGAAAAGCATTTTGCAAATGAAAGAGGAGCTGGGGTGAGGGGTCCACTCCCTCCTGGTAGGAAGGCACTGATCTAGAAACTCTTCAAATGATGGATCCAATCAATCTTTGCAGCTTCACAAATTAATGCTAGGATGTCGCTCTGGAACTGCATTGCTCCCCATGACACCAATACAAGGAGGCAGTTCACCAACATTTCCTTTTCTACCTAGCAGGTTTTGTCTAGCTCGTCTTTTCACTCCTCCTCAAATCTGTAATTAGAATTTAGGGTTCCACATACACAAAGTAAAAATCTGGAACTATTAAAGGATAAAAGTGATCTGATTTTACATTGGAGTGAATAGGGCAAGAACCTGACCCTGCAGTTTTGGGTCTGATTTTTTTCCCCCTCAATCGGATCCTACTGAAGAAAAAATATTGGTACATGTGCTGGGAGCCATGTGCAGAATTGGTAGAAGGAAGACAGGAAGGGAAGAACAACCTTCCTAAAGTCACCTTCCCGATCTTCCAGCTTCCCACAAAAGCATGTACAAGCCACCAGTGCATTTTCATGACTGTTAGAGCCAACTCCCAATTACTCAGAAGCAGGTCACCCACTCAAATTCACCCATGCCCCAGCAGCAGAGACACACAAGGCAGCTGGAGTTTCGAAGTACTTCGGGTGTGTTTGCAGACACTGCCCCAAGCAGCCTTAATAGCTAAGGTTCAAGGATGTCTGCACTCCATGACAAGCAGTGACACCGACTTCTGTTTCCTTTCTTCATTATCCCCTCTCTGTGTGTTCCTAAAATCCTATGTATCTTTGCCTTGCTGTTAGACCCACCCATCTTCTACCCATTCTCCTTCATTACAGAAAATATCAAGAGTTAGCTGTGTACTTAATACAGAAAAATACACTGCAGCATAAGATGGGCATGATGTTCTAGAATAACCAAATAATACCAAAAACATTGAGCTAATCATAATTGGTTTAGTATTTAATTCAACAAAATAGGCTTTGTTTCTGAATTTTTTGGTGGGGAGGGGGGGAGGTGTATATTCTGACCTGCCTCAGTAGAGTGCCATGAAATTATGTAAGGGAACAGCCTACAGTGGAACATATAGTCAGCCTTACAAAGTCTGCTCAGAAATTACTCTTAAATGTCAGCCCCTAAAACCTGGCCTCTTTAAGTCACTATTGAAGTATTAGGTACAGGTCAATAGGACTGGAGCATAATCATTACAATCAAGACAAGAGCCCTTAGTTCATAGCGTTCATTGCCAACTTCTGCCTGCCTGAGTGCACTACCGCAGTCTTCTGCTGTGCTGGCTTCCGTTAGTTCAGCCATCGTCCCCAAGGGTTTTAACTAAACTCGTAAGACTTTCATGGTAAGTTTGGTTTTACTTGTTCATAACAACACATATTAAAGTCTTAAGAGCACAGCATTAAGGGGAGTTATTACAGATTAAGTTCTAATCCTTCCACCTACTTGTCTTCGTTCCTTGGATTGCCTCCAGCTTGTCCAGTTTGAGAATTCTGTGCAAAAGCACTTGCCTAGGCTGTATTAGGAGACATTAGAGCCACACAAGCCCTAATGTGTGATACCATGTATTTCAATACAAAAAAGTAACATGCTGTGAGTTTCTATCTAGTCACAGGCCTTTTTCTCTACCTCACCTTTTGTCTAGGCTCAAAAAAACCTTTACAATATTTCCTCCAAATTTGACTGTTTTGACTAGTATCAAACAAGTGTCATTTATCTGTTTCTGCAAAACATACAATTGAACTCTCATAACTCTGTTTTTCCACCTTTGGTCTGAACTCTGTCAATCTGGAAATGTATTTGATCTCTCTGGTGTGAAGTTGCAATCATGGAAACTAAGAAATTTACAAAAATTAAAAAGCAAAATTTTTACTCTCCAAGTAGCAGACATCTCTTATATTAACATGTAAGCTTTTGCTTCCCCATTGAGATATTACCATGTAGCTTTCCAAACTCCAAGCATTTTTTCAACCCAAATAGAAAGAGTGGAACAAAACTGCTTTTTTTTTAAGAAAAATCATAATTAGGATGTAAGGGAGTAGCAGATAATGAGCCACAAGCTCTTTCAGTAATGCCAGATGGGGCATTGCTGCATCCAGACCAATAACATACTGTAGAGCTACAGCATCCTGGTTACAGGACTTGCAGCCAGGACACACAGGCACCAAATGATGAAGAACACGCCCTGGTAATCTGTTCCAGGGGATAATTACCCTCAATTACTGACAGAAGAAATCGGATTTCCAACTCCTGGATCTTGCCTTCCCTTCATCTACTACATTACAGAGTCCTTTGGTGGAAAATGCTCTCCTTTATGATCAAGATCAAAGAGGTGCAAAGCAGATGTAATATCACAATGAATTGTGTCAATGGAACCATTTAAAAGATTTATTTGGGTTTTATGACATTTACAGCAGCACTGTGGTAGTGATTACTAGTGCCAGTAGAGCCTCAGTAAACTCTCATCTTATTCAATTCTAGCCTGTATCTTTTACAAGGGAAAAAACAGATAACCTGGTGATTTGATTTACAAATGTTTTGACTCAAGCCAGGCTTTGGCCACACTGTTTATAGGAGGTTTTAAAGGCAGGGTGAGTAAATTATTAAAAGATGTTTTAATACATGGTTAATAAATTATCATAGACTGTTGGAGGTCATTGTTTGCTGGTAATTGCCAGCTCCAGACAGCTCTGTGAGCAAGAAAGCTCAACAGCTCATCCTGCTTGCTTCCCCGCAAGGCTCCCTTAGGGCAGCCTCCAGCTGAGCCCCAGGGGCTCATCCTGCATTTTCTCCTGTTGAGGTTAACGCTCTTCACCCGCTGATATTCTGTCAATAGCTGCCTACAAAATGCCTCCACTCGAATCATCCTTGGAGCAAATGCTAATTGTGCCCAATAACGTGTTAACAACCTGAAACCACAGCTATGCTGCTTGGTTTTTGCCATGAAATATGTGGTCAAACAGCAGCACGGTCAAGTTCTGCCACAAGACAGAAGAACACCGGCAGCACGAAGTCTCCCTGGCATTGCCTCAGCCACAGGCAAACAGAAGGAGTTAAGCTGTGGACCAAAGTCTTTTTCTTTATTTATGGAGAAATGAGAGCCATCCCAATGTTATCTCCTTAAAAATCTCCCAACCCCTTCCATGCAATGCTGGTATTTGATCACTAAAGGAAAAATCTGTTTTGCTTTTGTGTGTTTGTGTGTGAGAAAATACATGGAAGTTCCCTGGTGAGCTGAGAAAACTTATCTTTGAAGATAAGTTTCATAGGGCTGAGCTCAAGCTCCAGCCAGCCAGCATTTTAACAGTGATTACCCTGTATTCCGGAAGGTGCCATATATTCCTGCGTTGCTCCTATGCTCCCTGGGCATCCACTCACAGCCAGTACTGCAGACAGGCCATCAGGCTGGGTGCAATGAACCACAGGTTCTGACATAGCTGCAGAACTGCTTGCTACTGACAGATAGCAAATGCCTTGTACTGGAGCAAATCACAGGCTTTTTTTGTCCTGTATCTCATTTCTGACAGTGGTGAGAAACTGGTGACTTCAGAGAACGTGCAAGAAACGTTACTGCAACAGGCAGTTACAACAAATTCACAGTTACTGATCTGACACTGAAAGAAGCATCAGTCTGAATGTTATCACTCAGGAAGAAGGTTCAGCAAATGTTCAAGTCTGACAACCAGACAGGACAACCTGCTGTATCTGTTCTTTCTTAATTTCTATGAAAGAAAACATGGGAATAGCTTTACTACTTCTGAGAACTTTGATCACAGTCCTGTGGCATTTTCAGCTGTAAAGTATATGATCAGCATCTCGATTATCAGCTTAACTTGATCTTCAGACTGAAACATGTCACTCAAAACTTTGATTTCTTAGGCATTATTTATAAGGAAATTAAAGGCCTAATGAATCATAAGCATGAACTGGAAACGTGACAATAACAATCTATCAGGCACATGTTACTGGTCTTTAAATAGTGCAAGGAAAAGTTACTGGAGTTCTCTAAAGGGAACCCAGACCGCAGGAGTTTATTGCTTTACAGGTAATTCTTTTAAATATTAACCTTTGTTACTTCGACTCTGTAAAACACTGACACCTAAACACTCCTTTCCAACCAACAGCTAATTAATTCTGTATGGTACATTATTTTTTTATTCAGGTAAGCAGGGCCATGAGCCCAGCCACAGATCCACCATCGGTAAGAGCAGGCATAGGTTGGCACAGCCCCGGGCAGAAGCCTCCTTGCTTCTGCGCCATCCCCTCCCTCGTTCCAGCAGCAGCTGTGGAGCCCCACAGGGAGCTAACCTGGGCCTGGCACAGCTCACCGACAGTCCAGCAAAAGACAGGGTTTACGCTGACTTTGGTCAGTGTCCTGAACCAGTTTGCTCAAGGAATTTGGCTGTGCAAGCTCAGGAGCGTGCAGTTGGAAGCAGGAACTCTTCCAGCAGCTTATGTCTGTATAAGGTAACAAAGAAACCCCAGCTTCAGCCCTCCTGCTCGTAGACCTATTTCAGAACACAAAATTTATCCTAGCGCAACGCCGCAGCACCAAGCACTGGCATGGCAGAGGATGTTTACTGACACTTCAGGAGCCTGGCACGCTGACCTCCCTTCCATCTCTTCCAAAAAGGAGCATGAAGTGCCACATCCAAAAGCGATGTGGTCCCTTCACTGCGTGGTCAGCAACACCAGCTAACTATCAGCATGTCCTCACATGTGGGGTTACATCTCACAACACCTCCCACAGCTTCTAGGACTAGACAAGAGATCCACCTCGCTCTCATCAGCAAGAGCCAGCGCTGAGTGAGTGTTATCTGGTCCTAAATCTTTATTTTGTGTCAGGAAAAAAAAACGGAGTGGCTGTCAGCAAACTCTTAGAAGTGCTTTCTATCAAAATAATTAGAGTTCAACTCAAGAGCTGGCACTGGGTAATACCAGCCAATTTTCTCTGCTTCCTGGAAATGTTATTCATGATGCAGGATGCTCTTCTCTGTATTGCAGAGAGAAAATAGATTTGGGGAAGCTTGTTTCAGGCTTAAATAGCTTCCATGTCTGTCCTATGAATCTCATTTCAGACACCGGTCCAGAACTGTAATAAAAGCAACAGTTCAAGACGACAGACTGGTCCTTACCTGCACACTTGTGAGGGTCGTGTATTGGTAGGCTTTTACAATCATGTAATTGGCTTCAACATCAGCCAGTCCCAAAAAAATATACTTCCACCACCGCTGTTTCAAAATTTGCCAAAGACTGTCACCGCCTGTTTAAAAGAAAGCAGCAATAAATTATGTGTTTCTTTCCAACCAAATGTTGCACAGGAATCTTGCTTTTTAGAAGCATAACTAATACTAAGATATTCAATTTTGGTTGCCCCTGCTTAAGCAAGATACAATAACAGCAAGATGCAGCCTGGGAAGAGACAATGAAAATGGTGAAAAACACAGAAATTCTTCCACACGGGGAAAAAAACACACAAGACTAGAGTTGTTTAAAGAGTAAATTAATAAGAGGAATGTTAAATAGCCTCTGGTAAAGAAGCTTGTTACAACAAAGCCTATCTTCTCTAATGTAACATAGGACTTGAAACCAAAGAGAACATAATTTTAAACAGATATGAAATTAAATCAAATTAAATGCACATTTAACCTGTGAAATTCATTTCCTTCTGTTATTACAAGGCAGGAATTTCAGCAGAAAAAAAACTAGAATGAGTGTTGAGTAAGTTCTTTAGTTTCAAAATCTGAAAGGAAAATTTAGAAGAGAAAAAAAATGATGAACCAGAATCTCCCATCCCATGTTTCACATACCAGTCCTAAATGCCAGCATTGTTGTATAAACTAGAAGAAGCAAAGAATAGTTGATAAAACTTTGAAACATTGGAGTATTCACTTGGTATTTTTCTGCTAGGTACTGGCTTGTAACAGCAGTCCCACAGATAAACAAGGAGAGCATCTGGCCCAGAATTATCGTTTTCAAAATATGCCTGTGAATATAAAAGACAACACAGTTAAGCTTAGAATTAAACATTTTTTTAAAAAAATTTGCTAGTTGTACAGGGAAAATGCCATTTTTCAGACTGACACTTTATTCTTTTTCTACTCCCTATCTGATTTACCGATAAGCAGGGATTTGTCTACACAGAAGATCTAGCCTAACCTCATGACAGCCATGAGTGAGGCCACTTCAAATCACCAGTGATGGAGACTGCAATAATTTGCAAGGATCTTCAAGCAGCTCACCTGGGCAGGTTCAAATGAATGGTAGGATCTATTCTCATCAAGAGAAATTTTGATACACATGGCCTGAGTTAAATCCTTCGTCCTCCACTGAATCCTGCTCTGACTTTCACCAATAGAAATCTGCAACATGGAGGTAAGGCACGACTGCCTTCAGGCTCTTCCAAGACCCGAGTCTTTGAAAGTCAGCAGAGACCCTAAGCTGAGCAGTGCTAAGGAAATACAAAAGCATTAACGATAGAATCATAGAACAGCCCAGCTCGGAAGGACCTCAAAAGATCATCTGGTCCAACCTTTCATGAGAAAGGGAGCCTAGATGAGATTATCTAGCACTCTGTCAAATGACATCTTGAAAAACTCTAGCAATCGGGACTCCACAACATCCCTGGGGAGGTTGTTCCAGTGATTGATTGTTCTCACTGTAAAAAAATTCTCTCTTACAATAAGAATTGTAATAATTAAAATTTTTTCTGCTATTTTTTTTCTGGGTTTTTTTTCCTGTATTTTTTCTGCTATATTCCATCACGTCCTGCTATAAATGAGGATGGAGGTAAGAACATGTATTGGCCAAAGATCATGTTAGTGTTTACAGTTCCTTCTAAGTCCAACCCACAGCTAGGGGAGGCGGGGGGAAGCTCATGCTCTTTTACTAGCAATTCTTCACCTAATATAAAAGTGAACTGTTGTAGATGTTCCTAGACAAACAGGGGTATGCACAGATTTTTGTGTATCTTTTGGCTTGCATTTTTTCCAGCCAGTGGAGCTATGCAGATCTGTACCACCCCAGTCTCTCCCTACATACTCACAATACACAGAGAGAGGGCTCGGTGTTGTGCTGTGCTCTCTGCACAGGCCTGCAAAGTTCACATCTAATTTGTTCACTCTGAAGACTACTGATGAGAATTTAACTGTCTGCACAACTGATTCATTTGTTCCTACTCAAAGTAATCAAGCAAGAGAAGAAAGCGTCCTATTAGGATTCTGCACCTACCCTGTGCCCACTTCTCTTCCCGATGATTTTTGGCAGGGCACCCACGTGCCAGTAACACCGGTTGTTTTCCCAAGGTGGGCGGCTTTAGAATAGTAAATACTCAGCTACACTGGGCAATCCAGCTGTCAGGCAATGAGAAGGGTGTGTTCAGGAGTGCTGAAGCCAACTACAGTCACACAGTCAATCCCTCCTTTTGGAAGGGAGACATCTTCTTTGCATGGATTCTAATTCAGCTGCATGAATCTCATTTTCAGTTCAGCTTGACACCAAAGCTCTTTTGACTTTAAAAAAGGCTGCTAGGCACATTTTTCTCTCCAAGTCCATTTTGATGAGACAGCAAATCTCTGCAAAGTCCAGCCACGCTGCACTTCCAAGAGATTTGAGCCCCACATTTTGCTACCGCTTGCCTTGCCCATCCTGGCAATGGTGCACATCCACATAATAAGTATTTATATATCGTGACAATCTTGTAGGGTCCTATCCAGCCTTGTGTGAATAACTTTCTGGTGCATGAAAGAATGAACATTCTCATTTCTAGCATTTTGAATGCTGAAGTAAGCAACAGAGAACATGTTTCAGCTAGAAATTTATCATGGCAACTTTGTAGCACAGCATTAACTGTAAACAGTGCTGTAAAATACATACACGTATGTACATATATGTATTTGTATGCAATAAAAAAAAAAACAACAAACTTTTGAAGCTACCTCACTTCTGTTATACTGAATTTCTTTTTATTCTGGTCAAAGATCCGATTGCACTATTTGGTGGACAAATCAGCAATGATTGTAACACATTCTGGCTAATTATTCTGACTGATGCAGAAATGTCATTTTACATTCATCTAAAGAAATCATTTAATCAGGCACCATTAAGAAGAATGTAACATAGGTTAGCTAAAATTTCCAGGATGAGACTCCCTCTTCTCTCAAGCAGGCAGGGATGATGGTTCCAGCTCACCCTTTGCCAGCCCTGTGAACTCTGGCTCCTTTGCTGGAGGTGATATGACAGAAGACCCATTGAAATTTCAAGGAAGAAATAATGCGGTGAACACCACATGAAAAAATGTGGTTCAGGCTTGTAAAAAATATATATGTGACTGGGCAAAACGGCTGCAATTTTACTGGAGCAAAGCTGTGAAGCCTGCATAGTCCACAAAATGAATTGCGTTCCTCTATACGTTACCAGGAGAGGTTAAAGCTGCCATGGCTGGTAGAAGCCCTGCTCTCCTGGATGCAAACTCCCCTTCACCCATCTCCTAGGTGGGGCCACAGAGACGGGCAGAAGCACAGGCAAGGCTACTCCACAAGCACGTGGCTTGTTTAACAAGGACTTCTGTAGGGCAAGGTTTTAAACATTTTCCCGCAGGATACGATACGCAAGGAGTAGCATTGCTTCTCCTGAACTACAGCACCCTCTCCATAGCACACGCCTGGACGCTGCATGCACCGGCAAACTGGATGGTGACCATGTTCCAGCGAGAGGGTAAAAGGGGGAAAGTCTGCTGCCGTTCAAATTTGCTAACCATTGATCAGCTTCAACCATCATTTATTAAATACAAGAAAGACCTGGTTGCCCTCTTTCAGTGGAATAACTCCACTAAGCTGATTGTCAGCTTTTCTAATAATTAAGTTTCTCCAGTTTAAAGTACCAGGGAATTATCTCCGTGCGTTTTGCATATGGGAAGAGATGCAGGTCCAGAATCTACAGAACTGTTTGCTTAGTGGTTTCTGCACCAGCAATCATTGCTATTTAGTTAATGTATATCTAAGCAGTCCTACAGCATTTACTTCTACAGTACCTAAGGCATCTGACAAGGCAAGCAGTCGGTCTTCATCCTGCCCCATTCCCTTCTTTGCTTTTCTCTATTTTAATTCAGGGATTTTTCTTCTTCCCTCTACTGAAGAGGCTCAAAATGTTAAGATCAAAAGAGCCAAATAGAGACACTGGTGGAAGGCTGCCCTCAAAAATGTCCTCTGTGAATCCCAAAACACTACGTTTCTGGCAACTTTCTTGGCTGCCTGTAGAATAACAGCCTCTTGCCCTGACCCCCCCCAACACCAGGCACAAGCCTCAGCAAAAGCACCAAGTTTCCCCACATTTGCCAAGGTGTCAAAACAAATTTCTTCAAATTGCAAAGGTGACGCCCTGTTCCTGGTGCAAAGCGCTGCACTCAAGGTGCTTTGAACAGAGCAAGATGACCCTTGTTAAATGTGGGCTCAAGAGCCTTATTATTTCAGTGCCCACTAAGTTCCCACAGTAAATTAAAAAAAAAAAATGGTTTACCCTCTGTAAAACTTGAGAGTAAACTTTAAACCCTATTGGTTTCATTTTGCAAGACAATTTCTTCTAAGAAAAATGCTTCGAGGACATGAGTTTCCATTCATTCCAGTATTGACATGAGTATCGATGACAGTGATTTTCTTATTAATAATTTATCATCATTTTTTTACATATATTAATTATTAACTTTTCCATGCAAGAACTTGATCCTCTCTGCTTTTTTTAATGCGTTGGTAAGGACTAAATCACTTTGGACTCTCAGATGACGCAAAGTAAGTGCTCTGAAATGGTCTTTTGGTTTTATAGTTTGGGGGTTTTGTTGTTGTTGTTGTTGTTTTTTACTGCTTGATAGTTGGCTACTAAGTAATTACTCCTCCTCTCCCTTCAGCCACCACATCTTAGCCAGCTATATCTATAGCTATGAGCAAAACTAGGAGCCATTTAGGGATTTTTTCAGAACATCAAAGTTTGCCACAAATTGGTCTAAAGCTAATGCTGAACAATGTACAGCTCTTGACACCAAGAGAAAGTCAGGCTGACTTTCTTTGGCACCATGTGAAATGCAGAAGAAAAATACCCCAAGATATTAGAATACAATCAGAGTCTATATCTGAGGAAGTTAAAGAAAGTCTAACAAGCCCACAGTTAACAATTTTATTGGCTATTAGTTTAATAAATCCTATAATTTTAATGTGTTTTTTTCATGACAATAAATACAGCTTTTAAAAATATAAATTTATTTATGCCACCAGTTAAACACTAACAGGCAAAGCCTGGCAACACTCTTCATACAGATAGTCTACTTGCATTTCAGCTTTAACTAAGGAACCCTACCTGAAGGGGAGGGAGAGACCATTTCATTTGAATAAATTAACATTTTCATGCGAGTTGTTAAAGGAAAATGCAGGTTCAGACCAAAGTATTCCAACATGATCAGCAGATAGCTCAGGACGCAAAAAAAATATTAAGAACTAACATTTTCAAAAGTTAGCGTTTCAATGTTCTGCTTTGAAACCGAGGTCAGTTTAATTTGTAAAAGGTAAGAAACAGAAAAGAAAAACTTGTTTTGTTTCAAGAACCAGAAAGCATACTTTCTACTGGTTTTACTCAAGAAAAAAAAAAAAAATCTAGCTTATTACGTACAAGTATTAAACCTTCCTATGACTCAGAAAGGCCTCTAAGAAAACTGAAGTGGCTGAGCCTCCAGCCATCTGGGGAAAGAAAAAAAAAAAAAAGCAGGGGGGGAATGAATTCAGTATTTTGGACAAGACTTTGCAAAAGTCAGCGAGAACTCTTTATTTTCTTCCAAGTACCATCAATAGACTCCCTTAGTGTAGCCCTCTGGCAACATTTTGCCAAAACTACCAGCACAGGTCAGGTTACTTAACAGTTCAACAGGTTCCTATCTTGTCTTTTTGGACATTCTTGACAGGCAGGAGGAATGAAAAGAGGAAAAAAACCTTATAACCAAGA